TGTGTCCCAGGTGTGTCCCAGGTGTGTCCCAGCCGTCCCAGGTGTATCCCATCTGTCCCAGGTGTGTCCCAGGTGTCCCAGCTGTCCCAGGTGTGTCCCAGGTGTGTCCCAGGCATCCCAGGTGTGTCCCAGGTGTGTCCCAGCCGTCCCCAGGTGTATCCCAGCTGTCCCAGGTGTGTCCCAGCTGTCTCCAGGTGTGTCCCAGCCATCCCCAGGTGTGTCCCAGGTGTGTCCCAGGTGTGTCCCAGCTGTCCCAGGTGTATCCCAGCTGTCTCCAGGTGTGTCCCAGCCGTCCCCATCCGTCCCAGGTGTGCCCGGGCTCACCTGGCAGCTCGCGGCGGTCGCGGTACCAGCGCAGCGTGGCCGGGGGCCGCGCCCGGGGCACCAGGCAGGTGAGCTCCAGCTCCTCCCCCTCCACCGCCAGCGCCCCGGCCTGCACCTGCGGCGGCTCGGGGGGCACTGCCGGCGCGGCACAGGGGGGACAGGTGAGGTATGGACAGGGGGACAGGTGGGACAGGTGAGACAGGCGGGACAGGTGAGACAGGTGAGGTATGGACAGGTGAGATATGGACAGGTGGGACAGGTGAGACAGGTGGGACAGGTGAGACAGGTGGGACAGGTGGGACAGGTGGGACAGGTGGGACAGGTGAGATATGGACAGGTGAGACAGGTGAGATATGGACAGGTGAGACAGGTGGGACAGGTGGGACAGGTGGGACAGGTGGCAGCAGGTGTGGCACCTGTGCCCAGGTGTCCCCAGGTGCGCCCAAACCCCCCAAATCCCCATTTTTCACCCAATTTTCACCCGATTTTTTTTCTTTTCCCCTCCCAGCTCCCGCCAGGTGCCCCAGGTGAGCCAAAACTCCCCAAAATCCCCGTTTTTCCCCGGATTTGCCCCGGATTTTTTCCTTTCCCCCTCCCAGGTGCCCCAAAATCCCCGTTTTTCCCCCGTTTCCCCCGTTTTCCCCCATTTTTCTCCTGTTTTTCCCCATTTTTCCCCATTTTCCCCATTTCCCCCCATTTTTCCCCATTTTCTCCCGTTTTTCCCCATTTTCCCTGTTCCCCCCGTTTTCCCCCATTTTCCCCATTTCCCCACATTTTCCCCCATTTTCCTCCTGTTTTCCCCCGTTTTTCCCGATTTCTCACCCATTTTTCCCCATTTTCCCTCCGTTTCTCCCCATTTTTTTTCAATTTCCCCCCGTTTTTCCCCGTTTCTCCCCATTTTCCCCCCGTTTCCCCCCATTTTTCCCC